TTCACTTAAAACATTTTGTGACCATTATTTTTTCTGACAGAAATTAGCTTGTTTGTGGTATTTCTTAGTGTTGCTGCAGGGTTTTTCCATAACAATAAATTATTGTTAAGTATGTTTATCTACCACAATGAAAAGAGGAAAGTGATCCTAAGATTGCTCAAAGAATAGTGTCTGATTTAGTTTAATGGTAAAATGCTATTTCTGTCAATGAAAAGAGTAAATGAGATTGCAGAAAGGGTTATCTGATGTATGTTAAAATTAACTAAGAAATAACAAATAAGGCAAAATGATGCCATTCAGGTACCCTCTCGTGTAAGTGGTTGAGTTTTCTGATGAATGTTTAATTTACATGATACGGGCAAAGCAAGCAAACAGATTTACTTCAAATCCTCATCAACTCTTTTTTTTTTTTTGTTTTGTTTTAACTTATATCAGGAATCTATCCAAAAAAATATTTTCTCTTTTTGTCATATTGCCTAGTCATTTGTCATGAGCATTGTGAAAGGAATCAGGAAAAAAAGGGGCAATTAAGAATGTGATGATGTAAAATATTTGAAATTGCTTGGTGAGTTCTTTAATCAATTATATAAGTTACTTCTCCTTATCTGCAAAAAGTTTAATCATAGTTCCCTCGCAATGAGCAGGGACATCTTCCACTAGATCAGGTCAGTAAGAGTCTTGTCCAGCATGACCTTGAATGATTCCAAGGGTGAGGCATCTACCATCTCTCTGGGCAACCTATATTCCAGTATTTCACCACTGTCATTGTGAAAAAAATTTTCCTTGTATCTCTATGGTGAGATCTTTTCTGAGTTTGTTTTTTTTTAATATTATATAAACATATAATTTTAATTAAATTTGTTTGTACACTCTGTTCATAAAGAGATTAGAAACTGCATGATTGCAAGTATAGGTATTTCCAATGGCCTTCTAAGTGAGCTGGGAATCCAAAGGGCAATGTGCCCTTTTGTTTGCCATTTCTGTTTGAAGGAGTGAAATGCCAAGTGAAACTACAAGAAACATTCGATGTCAATATTTCTTTTGTAGAACCATAAACCTTTGGGCCGTGGGAGGGAGGGTTGTACAGGCTCCCAGCACCTTGCCCTCATGCAGGTTTGTGGTAAGGATAGAGAGGAAGTTAATAGGAAACTATAGGTTAATAGGAAACTATAGGTGCTGACAAATTTGAGATACTATATGTAAGCTGTGAAAAGCATCTTTGTGGTTAACAGCTCTGGGATGAGTGTGTAAAAATGTGACTTTGAGCAAAACAGTTAAAAAATATTTGTTCAGTTCAAAATGCTTTAAAAAAAACCCCTAAATCTCTTCATGGGAGGCTCTGCTTTGTACAGTACCCACTATCAACAAAAATCTTTTTCATGGACCATGGAATCTAGACAAATTTCATCAGCACGTCTTTCTGTTTAATCATGTGAAAAGTGTCAGATGCCTAGAATACTTGGAAAAAAAAATCTCAAATTGGGTTCTTTATGATGATCTGAAATGCAGATGGCCAAAAACCTTCTGTTATAGCCTTCTCTTATATTCTGGTGGAAGTTCACACTTCTCATTCCTATGCATCCTTTGCAAGGTTCCCATTTCAGGATTAAGGATCTTAAGTTCCAAGACTGTCTCTGCAATTGAGCCAGCTATTTTCTTTTTTTACTTTGTAAGTAAAGCCTATTACATAATTTTGTGGGATAAATGAGAAAATTCCCTTGTTTAATTTTTTGTCAATTGAAATAAGTGTGAAAATCATGTACTTGTTCCTTATGTGTGTGTGTCTGTGTATGTGTGTGTGTGTGAATGCTGGGGGAGGAAGAAAAACTAATTTAAGCTGCTGTTAACACAGGAAAAAGGCTCAGAGTATTTAAATGGGCTTTTAATTAGCATTTCAGTTTATAATAGTATACTGATTGGTCATTATTTCTGTCATTTAGAAAAGGTGATGCAGAGATAACAACTAAATTCTAAAAAGTTTCCTTCTAAAAACTCTGGACTTTCAGAAGTAGAATTTCCCTTCTTTGTTCTCTTGCCTTGATCATCTATTATGAGTGGGCCTTCCGAATAAAGGTAGAAGCTTTGTTCTGACTTATTTTTTTTCAGTAAGTGGTCGTGCTGGTTTTGGATCTTAACTTCAAACAGGCACATGCAATAGCACAAAGGTTTCAGGTGCCTTGCTGGAAAAAAGGCACTTATTGTAATATATTTTTCCTCAAACTATACATCGTTATGATTTACCCATGTAATGCTCCCCACTGCATAACGCAAAGGCTCTAGTGCTAAACTCAGTGTGAAATACAGTGAATATGTACAAAAACTAGGCATTCATTTTAAGCTGGGCATTACCAATACTGAAGTGTGTAGTAAAAGGGCCAATTCAGATTCACAATGGTAGACAATATTTGCATTTAAGCAAACTACTTGGCCATTACCGCTGTTTATTGCTAATAATGAAATCATGTACCTGAAAATAACAGTTGGACCAGGTATTATTGTATTAGTGTACATCACAGAAAGAAAATAAAATTCGATACCTCAAAGGAAGAGGATTTTATGTGTCTTCTCTGGGTCTTAGAAGATCTTGCAGTTTCTGTTACAATGGTATCTTAAAAACCTTACATATTCCACAGGCAAAGCAAAGTGTGCTGGAACACTGTGGACCAGCAGGTGCTTGATGCAACGTGACTGGACTGTCACATAGCTTGTCAGGATCCTGCAGAAAAATCGTTCTCATCCTATCAAGACATAATAAAACAGTATCCAGATTACTGCCACATTATGGTCATCACTGCTACTTCTTATTCTGAAACTGTGGGACATGAAAGTAATTTGGAAAAAAACCCCAACATCAGCAGACCAGTTTTTACTGAGAGGAATGTAAGAAAGGAATAGTTTTGCAGGGGATTCTCCTCTGTAACAACCTAAAAGAAACTAAGAAAACCAAACAGAAAGTATAGTAAGGATAAGTTAGATCTCAACAGAGTAAACCTCTGCCTCAGCTATGACTCCTGTCCAGGTAAATGCCACAGCAACCTACTGACATATTCCTCTGTGTCCCAGAGTCTGTTGCTGTTGGTGTTCAAGCTGTCCATGTAACATCTGTGCAAAAGCTGAGATAGGGCATGCAACTGACTCCCTGCAGTTTAATGAATTAATAATAGCTGGCACCTGAGTTTTGATTGTTGTTCAGTTTGTGAACTTCAATCATAACCTCATGACTGAAGATATATGTCGAAAAAAGCATGAGAAGTAGTTATGTTCATCTTTTACATTCTTGTAAAGTGATATCCTGCCAGTTTTAACTGTTTCATGGACAAATTTTATTTAATGTTAATATGCAGATTTACTGACAGGCTCTGCAATTTATGTTACGCACTTAGAAAGAGAAAACAAGCATATGATGTTTTTGTAGGGTGTGATAGTGCTGAAGTATTTGGTTTCTTCCAGAAAAGATAGATTCAGAATTTTACTTGAAAGCATTTGTATGTAGGTAGGATTTAGACACACTTCCTGAAATTGTGAAAACCTATCGTAAGTATGAATATCACAGTGTAGATTTTTTTTTTGCAGTTTCTGTTTATTTTAGCAGTAAACCATTGAAAATGATTTTACACTTGCCTGGTTGTATATTTTGAGTAATTGAAGGAAAAAATACTCATGCTCTACTGATGATTAAAAATATGAAAATATTTATTTATTTATTTGTTTGTTTGTAGGTACTGACTTTCTTAAACAGGCAGGCAGTGTTAAAATCTAAGCTACAGATTCAGAACAGTGTTGTAAATGTGAGGTAAGATAGCTACAGGGATAATTATTTTTAAATCATAAAATATGTAGAAAAATGTTTCCCCATGCATTTAGTAAAACTTGAGAATTGTCCATGTTGGTTATTTGTGGTAGTTTTTAATTCTGTTGTGTAAGTAGAAACATTGTAATACTTTTTCTTAGAAAAAAGTTCCCCCCAGTCCTGTTAAAAAACAAGACAAACAAACCAAAGACTCCAAACTAACCAACCAATAACAACAAAATCAACCTCCCCCCCCCAAAAAAAAAAAAAAAGCCAAACCCAAAACAAGCAAACCCCATAAAAAAACCCAAAACAAAAAAATCCAAAACAAATCCAAAAATTCCACAAGTGAATGGATTATTAGGCTTGTTGCAACTGGAGAAAAATGTGTTCTTTAATGGAATCAGAATATTTCAAACTCTACACCTACCTGAAAGGAGATTGTAGCCAGGTGGGCATCGGTCTCTTCTCCCAAGGAACCAGCAGTAGGACAAGAGGGCATGATCTTAAGCTGTGCCAGGGGAAGTTTAAGTTGGATATTAGGAAGAAATTTATACAGAGAGAATAATCAGACATTGGAATGGGCTGCCCAGGGAGGTGGTGGATTCTCTGTCCCTGAAGGTTTTTTAGATGAGACTGGATGTGGCATTTAGTGCCGTGGTCTAGTTACCATGGCAGTGTTGGATCAAGGGTTGGACTTGATGATCTCAGAGGTCTTTTCCAACCCAGTTGAAAAAACCAAAACAAACAAAAACCAACCAAACAAAAAACAGCCAAAAAAACCAACCAAACAAACGAAAAACCAAACCAGTCTCTACTTTCCTGACATTCCTTATTTGAGTTGATAGCTAGTAGGAACTCCCTGCACTGTGCTTTTCAAACCTAACAATGCTTTGTAGGCTGTTAAATAAATGTGGTGTATACCTTTGGGTGTGTAGAAATATATTTGTTCACAAGTTTTACTTATTAACTGTTGTGCACAGTATTACTGCAACAATCTCTAGTAGACAAGAATACAGGAGAGGATAAAAGACTGTAGAGGTACTGAAAGGTACTTGTTACAAAATCATGAGATGTCTTTCTGTCTACTTATCTTTGGATTTTTCATTTGGAATTCGGAAAAGAGCAAAAACTTTCACCTCTTTCCATCTGGCCAATATGCGATGAAGCGTTTTTTCATGAATACGTGTATGTGCTGTGTATTTTACAGGAGCTTCAGGATGGCATTGGGCGACAGCAAACTGTTGTCAAAACACTGAATGTAACTGGTGAAGAGATTATTGAGCAGTCATCAACAGCAGATGCTAAAGTGCTGAAGGAACAACTGGAAAGTTTGAATACCCGGTGGCAGGAGATCTGCAAACAGCTGGTAGAGAAAAGAAAGAGGTACGTTAAAAGGGAGCATAGAAGAAAAATATTGGGAATTATTTTTAGTTATTTTAGATTTGATTCTCGCTTAATATTTCAAAGGAGTTCTCAACTTCTAGAGTTTTCGTGTATATAAGGAATTATCAGTAATTAAATTTCACATCCACTATAATTTGTTATTTTTTGTTTTGTTTTCTTTGCTATCTACTCCTGTCAATGACTCCCCACTCCCTTCCAAACTCCACATTTTTATAATTTCACTCTTACTGTTTAAAAAAAAAACACAAATGAACATACGTTATTTCTTGATTTAAAAATAGCACAGATTGGAGCTTCATTTACAGAATTTACAATTGACTTATAACCTTTCCATTTGATTGTATGTCATTAAAATAGATCTCTGTAGTACTAATAATACATTAGCTAATTGATACAGTTAATCCTAATCTAATTCACTTATCATAATTAATGCCATTAACATCTATATTTCATAGCCTGGATAAAAAGAATGGATTGCTCAATTTAAGGTTATTTATAATCACTTTCACATCAATTTGTTTTTCTCATGCAGTCACAGGAAGTTGGAGTGTTTGGGTTACAGATAGTGCAAAAATGGCTTTATATCTTTAAAAAGAGGATTTCCAATTTTTTAAAAAAATTGTTGCTGTTTAAACTAGGTTTTGTAAAAGGATATGTTCTTAACCTAGATGCTAGACCTAACTGGATATGCCATTCTGCTTTAAAATACAGTAGAAAATAGAGGTAGAGCTTTCTTCATCCATGTTTTTTAAAACCCAGAATATTCCTTATAGAGGTACATTAATGAATGCTAGAGATCTACTGGAAGAACTGGTTGTGTGCAACAGATTTTGTTAATTCTGATTTTTCTGTTCAGAGCCATGGAGGGGCAAAAGCTGTGAAAATGTTTACTAGAGTCATAAGGGAGTGTCCTGAAAGGTTATTACTGAGTTTAATCGTGATCGAACCTTCACTTGGGACATGTTGGGCATTGGAACAGGCTGCCCAGGGCAGTGGTTGAGTCACCATAGAATCATAGAATGGTTAAGGTTGGGAGGGACCTCAAAGATGATCTAGATCCAACCTCCCTGCCATGGACAGGGCACTTTCCACAAGATCAAGTTTCTGAGAGTCCCATCCAGCTTGGCTTTCAACAGTTCCTGGGATGAGAACCTCTCTGGGCAACCTGTTTCAGTGCCTCACCACTCAGAAGTAAATAATTTTTTCCTAATATCTAATCAAACCTTCCCTCCTTCAGCTTAAGGCAATTCCCCCTTTTCCAATCACTACATGCCCTTGTCAAAAGTGTCTTTCCAGCCTTTCTGTAAGCCTTCTTTAGGTATTGGAAGGTGCTATAAGGTCTCCCCAGAGGTATTTAAATGTAGAAATGGTACTTAGGGACATGGTTTGGTGGTGGACTTGGCAGTACTGAGTTAATGGTTTGACTTGATGACCTCACAGGTCTTTCCAATCTAAGTGATTCTGTGATTCTGTGTTAGGGAAGGAGGTGCAGCATGTAATCTACAGCTGTCAGAAGCTTCAGGGATGCCTTAAATAATTCTTTCTGCTGTATTTCCAGGTGTTGATGGTACTGCAGCTTTTTACACAAGGGAGTCCTTGACCTTTATTTGTCACACTAAAAGCTGTTCTTTTGTACATTGGAAACCCATCTGTGTTTCTAAGCATTAACTTGTTGTGTAAGTGCCAGCACTTACAAAACAATAACACATCATTTTAATAGCCCTGTAAAGTTCTTCAGCAGAAGAAAGAGATCGATGGTTGAGCTTTGTCTGAGACTATAAAATGTGTTCCAGTTGTGGTTAAGATTGGTATTGTACAATCCTTCATTTTTCAGTAGAAATGTCCATCTGAATGCTCTTTTGGCTCAATGGAGCATTAGCAGGATTACATGGAATTTCTTGGCACATTCTATATTTTAAGGAAGGCTATGATCTGTTAAGTGGGAATAGTACAGTTATGTTCCCTAGATAAACATAAACACTTGCACATGCAAGTCCTTTGGTCTGTTTAGTGTGTTGACTGATTGATTTGTTTTCATCTGGAGTGACAACTTGTATAATTTCAAGGACCATGATTGCAGAGACCTCAGTTAGTGAACTTTGCGTGAATAAATGCATTGCACCAGCAGGAATACTGATAGTGTTTTTTTAAACTGATATAAATGTTCTTGGTCTATTTTAGTAAGATTTTTGCATCAGGATGGAGGAGTTTGTGCTTCTATTCATCACCCAGTCTTCCTGGCTGTGTAAGAGCCAGGAAATGCTTTTTTATTCCTGGTCTTGAAAACAGATTCTACCCCCAGCTTAGCTTAGCTACTGCTTCCCAGTATGTTTGTTTTCTTTGTGTTTTTTTGTTTGTTTGTTTGTTTGTTTTTAAATTTTATTTCATCTTTTTACTCTCACAGGCTGGATTTTCAAAGGAAAGAAACCTATTTGACAGGAATAAGTGGTGTGTTCTATCTAGTCCTCAATTATTGATGATCCTGGGCATGAAAAGACAATAGGCTTATCAGCTGCACAGTCTTTATATAGCCATGATGTCGTGGGATTTTCATGTCTCTTATGTTTGACATCTTTTAGTTTTTCATTGGTTGTCCTAATTGGGTTTGGGGTACAGTCAGGTTCTCTCTTTTTGGGACTTGAAACCTGTGTCATCCAAAGTGCTCTAATTTATGATTAAGATCAAAGCATGATCAAAGCACACAGGGCAAGTTGAAAGAAGTGACCTCTACTTGCAACCCAAAAGAGCCAATATAGTCACAGTATCTCCCAATGCATGTGTTTGCACCATGTCAAATATATTTTAGTATCTTATTAGAATATAAATTACAATAAATGTGGGTCAAATAACATGAATCCCTTTTTCAGAATAACTTTAACAGACTATTAAAAAAACCACAAAACAAACCCAACTGCTAAGTCAGAATGCTTATATTCTAAATCATGTAAGTTTTCATAGTCTTTTAATATTTGCCTATCTTTCCTAAAAAATAAAATATTCATGGTTAAAAGAATTTTATTATTATGAAGGGGGTGCTAAGATGTTTTTGTCAATTTTGAAAATGAAAAAATGGAACTATAATGGAAGAAGATATTGTTTTAAGGGAGAGCAAACTGGGTATAATATATTTTCCTTTTATAATTTCAAAGGAAAATAAAATAGTTTTAGAAACAACATTTCTAACATTTAGAACCTTCTTCAAATCAGAAAATAAAACTGTCTCAAAATTTTTAGTAGGTTTTATGTTTTATTTTTTGTAGTCAATACATTGTGCTCTGCTTTCAAAGTTGTTTTCGAGTAGCTCAGAGGAGTAGTGATCTATTAAGTTTTTTTGGCTCAGCAGATCTCAGGATAAAGAAAGTGAAAAAAAATAGCAATTGAATGGATTCCAGAAATGAAATCTGACAGTGATTTCAGATTCAAATGTAATGTTGCTAAGCATTATTTAAATGACAAGGAAATTTTAAATACTGTAAATTCTGGTTTTGCTGTTTGCTTACCAAGATGGAAGAAATTGAATTTTATAATCCTGTTTACAGGTGAGACATCAACACTCCATTTTGGGCATCCTTCTAAAGCCCATAGCTCATATTTTCAAGACTTTAAAGATCCATTGTGGGATGGAGGGTGTAGATTACAGGAGTAACAGAAAGCAACACACAGTATTTTTGTAAGATGCACGAATGTGAGAATTTAGTTGAAGACAGGAGGTGTATGGTGACATTTCCAAGGATGCTGATGACATTAAGCCTTAGGTAGTCAAATGCTGAGTTGATAGTGGGAACTCCAAAACTGAGCAGATGGGTAGATGATCTTCATCAGAGACAAATGTGAAGCAATGAATATTATCATACCATGCTTAGATGATGGTGAGCTTGTTACAACTCAAGAAAGTGATCCTAGTTTTGTCACTGACAGTGTTTTCAGGCGCAGGATGGAGTGGTTGCATCAGTAAGGGTATTATGAAAAAAACCACCAACAAAAAAATGTTGATTTGCTGATATCAAATATTGTGTGCTCAAGTGGGTTACTGTGTGCAGATCTCTCTGCATGTCAAAGGGACTTACAGAAAGTATAGATGAAGGGGGACAGCTAAAATGACCCAAGGTTTAGAGTAGCTACACTGTGTGGAGAGACTAAGAAGCTGGAGATCTTCAATCTGGAGAGAAATCTCGGGAGGGATATGACTGGAGTTTACGAAGTCGAAGTGATGGGTAAACCGAATGTGGAACAACATGTTACTCACCTAATTCCTCAGTGCCAGAAGTAAAGGTTACTTGTTGAAAGTGTAAGAGAGAGTAAAATGGATTTAAGATTTACTTTGTAGTTTCTGAATGTCTAGGTTATGCTGGCCAGAGAAGGTTAGGATGGAAATTATTGTGACTCAACTCTATATGATGACAGTGGATCCTGGGAGAGTATGAGGTGAATGGAGTAAAGAAAGTAGCCAGTCTTCTGTGTTCCCCTTAATTCCATCTCCTGTTAGCAATGTTGATGGCACTCTGTTGGGGTAGCTTTTGTCACGCACTCAGGCATTTTTCAGGTTCTGATGCACTGATTATATTTTGAGTAGGGGAGGAGGAATTCTACAAAATTGTTTTGTCAGTTTTTCTGAGGTTGCTCTGTTAAATGGTCTGCTATTTATTCTGTATGAGAGCATAATATTATCACTGCATTGATAAAGAACCCTGTAAATTCAAAATATTTCCTGTAACCACCATGAACCCTGTGGTTGGTTGACTTGAAAGGGGAAGATTGATATGGGATATAATTCCAAGTTTCAACATGGTAATACAGTTTTCATAAATAATTTGAAATAAATATTAAACTACCTGCATAATAAGAACTATAAACCTGATCAAAACCATGATATTCTATAAATAATTGAAACTGATCATAAGTTCACTGCACACTAATATTAATCTCAGTGATAGACTGGTAGATTTAATGAATGAAAATTGTTTGGTCCACAAAGGTCA